TATTATATATATATATATATATATATATATATATATATATATATATATATATATATATATAATATCTAGTTTTTATTTTAATTTTTTAAACCTTACTTTTTTTTAGATATTAAATTATTTATAATTTATTATTGGTTGTTTATATTACATCCATAAACTTTGTTTATATTTGCAAAATATAAATATAGAAATGGAAACTTTATGATTTATTTTTTTTTTGTCCGAATTTATTGGATTAGAATACTCATTTATATTCTTTTTTTTGCTTTCCAATCTTTTAATTTTTAATTAATTTTCACATTCATTTGAATTTTATTCATAATGTGCATATTGGATAATAATGATAATATTAAGAATATATTAAGTGAGCAGTAATGCAGAGATAACGATAAATGATAAAGATAAATGTGAATGGATTTTAAGATAAAAATAAATGTGGATAAAGATAAATTGTGAATGAATTTTATGGAATTTGGATTTTTGAAAATTTGATTTTGATTTTCAATTTGTATAAAATGAAATTTAAATTATCAAATCAATATGCATTATTGGTCCCTTAACATATCAAATTATTATCATTAATATTTATTAGTTGCTACGAAATCTTCATAATGAAATGTTTACTTTATCAACTTCGTTTGTTATCAATCAATTTATTTGCACCAGTAATTCCAGCCCATACTACATACCTGTTTTTTCTTTTACCTTTTTCATTTTATTTTTCTATAGGTAATAATGAATTAAGGTTGATAATAGAAAGATAACTGATTACTGATATGTAAACATTTGAAGTAATTTTAACGATAATGGAAAATTAAAAAAATACTGCAATACAAATTATCATAATCACTTATTGCATTTCATCACCAGAATTCATTTTGTATTTAATCCCCTTTAATAAATATGCAATTTTTTCAAGTAATTATCCAATTTTTCTTTCCTTTTTTTTTTTTTGGGAAAGGAGGGAGTGAATTTTTTCATCCCGGCAAATGCGCAATTTCTTTTATTTT